AACTGAGAAGGAACAAGAACGAAAAAGACTCCTGTTTGCACCCTTAACACATATAATGCCTGGCTTCTCAAAGGGGCTCAATACATGTTTACTATGTTCTCCATATGCATTACTACAATTATTAAACAAAAATGAATTTTCAAAGAAAAGTTACATGCTTACCTGGTCAACCCAAGTCTAATAATGTAGCAAACAAAACCTTAGGGTGACCAATTTTGTTTCCCAGTTTCTGGTGTTTCAACCTTTGAGAAATTCCCTCCAGTAGAGTGTGAACCAGACATAACTTGCTTATAACCACAGGAAATGCACTAAAGGCAATGGGTTGGGCGGGGCCTAACAATTATATAGATGTAGCAGTAGCCCATTTTGCTTTTCTCTCTCTTTGCTGGCTTTGAAGTAGGCTGCCATGAACTTAACAGCCACAAGGAAATGAATTCTGCCACACAATCTGAGGGAGTCTGGAAGCCAATCCTTTTCCAACTGAGCCTGTAGGTGAAAATTAATCTTGGCCAATGCTTCATTGGAGTCTCACAGAGGGCCTAGGCTAAACTGTACCTAGACACTTGACCCATAAAAACTAAGAAGTGTGTCTTTTGCTTTATGCAGCTAAGTTCATGGTAATTTGATAATGAGCAACACAGAAAATAATTAGAACCTAAGATATTTCTGAACCCTTTATTCACACAAAGGACCATATTTTCTCCAATTTCTAAACAAATAAATGTCAAATCAACTAAGTACATTCAAAACTAAAACAGACTAACAATTCAATTACATAGTGCTCAAGAGTATTTACATAAGAAGACTAAATAAATCTTAAGTATTCTGCTACGTAAAGCAGTCTTTTATTTTAACCCACCTGCCCATATTCCCAATTTTAAACATCAACGTATGTAGTACTTATATTCACACAACTTTCCTTATAAGCACAAAATGTATAAGAAATATGAAAAAATTGATATTTAATTAAGGATACTGGTAGCCAGAAATAACCTACTTAATGGTCACTAGGCAAAGCAATCAACTGGGGGATTTGCTGGCAGTGGAGACACCATGTCAGTAAAACAAGAGAGCTCTGTCTCTGGCAGGAACTACAGCAGCCCGCAAAGCATCCAGGTACAATACTTAGGTCAAGATGCTCTCAGATCAGATGGGCCCCTGTGCAACAGATGCCACTCCTCAGTCCAGCCCACTTTGACTCTGCAGTCAAGGTACAGTACTTTCAAAAAAAAAAAAATCCCACAGCAGAAACTTCCATGACAGAGGCCACACTTTAGCATGCAACATATTATCCGCTGTCATGTTTAAAGATACATGAGATTACAGGCAAGAAACATTAACCACCAAAGTTCCTTTTCAGAGGTGGCAGGGGTGGTTATTAAAAGTATCATTTTTCCTAGGAAAAGCAGTCACATTCCTCTTCAGCCATTCTCCGTAAGTCTACAATTATATAAAAGAACATCAAGGAATACAAAGCATATTAATTACAATATCCCAAACAAATATTTTGGTACTTAATTTTGGTAAGAAGCAATGATTAAGAACAATTTGATAATGGTTAATTAATGATCTACACCATAAAACCTCACATCTGTGTTAAAATTAAGAGAAATAAATCTTCCTGGAAATACAGATCTTACTTAATATAGTTTTAAGAAATCAACCACACTGCTTCAATGTAAAGAAAGAGGTTTCATAACAGAAGGCACCTGAATGAAAACCAGACTGCTAAAATACTCATGAGCAAACCACACCCAAACAAGCTCAAGACAATTCAGCCCAAAGTAGCATAGTAGTCGTGGTTTATTGTCTTAAATTAATTCACTTTACATTTTAACTTCCAGTCAGGGATACATTCCAGAAATCTACATAATTTCTCTCAAAATAACCTCCTTTCATTGGTGTATTTTCATCATTTAATTCACCTCCCCATCCTGTTGCATTAATGAAGGCTATTTTACCATCTCATATTAATTGCTTTTATGAACATTAGCGACTAAATGGAAAAAAATGTAGACATAAAACAAAGTCAAGCAAATCCTAAGATACTGCCAGGGATTTTAAATATTAGCCTATGCCATTAAAGACCTATCTTATTTTATTTTCTTGTTTTTTGGTTTTGGTTTTGGTTTTGTTTTTTGAGACAGGGTCTCACTAAGTAACCCAAACTGGCCTTCTACTCATGATGATGTCCTGCCTCAGCCTCCCAGGTGCTGGGACTATAAACGTGCACCAATATGCCTAGCTTAAAGACCAATTTTAAAACAAAGGTGATGGACAATATTAGTAGTAATCAAGAGAGAGCATCTGTTCATTTTACAAGTATTAAACTCATCCATCTGGGAAGAGCAACAAAAACAACAAAGACCTATTTCATCTATAAACTCCTATATAAATTCTAATTTTAGTCCGGTCCAGGGACTCCATTCTTGGAAATTTCTACAAACTGGAATACCTGGATTAGGCACCTCTCTGGGAGATATAAGAATGTATAAAGCCAAAATATATGTCCAAATTAAAGTGAAACGTAAAACCACTGCAAAAAAACCCTTCTTCAATTCACCATTTATGATAAAATTACTAATTAATCAACTTGCTAGACTCAGAAGACTAAAAAAGAAACCAAAAAAAGTACTAAGTTTTCATTTTCATAACTGCCTACAAGAGAAAGACAATTTTAACTCTGATTAGTACCACCTTTTCTTATTAGGAAACAATAAAACAACCATTTTGTAAAATTACAGTAAGAACTTTCTATTAATTTAGAAATACTTTTTCTCAATTTTCAAATGAAGTTCATTATATATGCCCAAATATTTGTTTAGTTTGTAATAAACACATTATATAATAAAGTGAAGTCAATGTAAAGTGTAATCAAGTTTAATTTTTAAAATAGTAAGGTTCATCATTCAGCTCCCTAAATCTCAGAATCATGAGAAATATGCTATTATTGTTTTCTTCATGAACCCATCCACTAAAATGCAGATGAAAACCCCACTAAGGCAATGCTGCTAAAAGATGAGTTTTTACATAAGTCTATTCCATCTCTCTGGCTCAGCAAGGATTTAAGGTTGTGGCACCGATCCCCTTATTTAAGTACAGCTAATTTTTCTGATCCTCTTCCAGAAACCTTCCTCAACTGAGGTTTCTCATGTGAATCAAGCAGACATGGAAAACTGAATGATGTCCCGATAACGCGTAACTAAAATTGCTCTAAACACACTGGAGAGGAAAAGTCAAATTCACTGCACGCAATGGAAGCCAGAGGATGTGAGTGCTTCATTCTCTGCACAGACCTGCGAATGAAAGAATGCCACAAGTTCCTCAGTGTCACTGTCCTGCTCCCATTCTTCCTAATCCAACAGCATTAAGAACTATATGGTAATTGCACAAAATCTAAGAATTTAATTTTTTTTAAAACTGCTTTACTTCCAACTTTCAGCAATGAGATCTTTTCTACTTCCTAATTTACTATGAATAGCCTGGTTGTCAACTATTTGCCCCCAGAATGAATGGAATGTATTTACTTTAATAAAATAAACTCATACAAATATACTTTGTCAAGGAAAATTATCACTCTCTAAAAAAGGAACAAAAGTACTAACTCAAGTATTAAATATTAATTTCACAAAGCTTTCCTAGTCTCTCCTTTAGCAAGCTTTTATGTAGAAGTATTTTTAAAAAATCGTAACTGCTAAGTGCAAATTTTCATTTGAAAAAGAAATTTTTTTTAAAGTTTATTCTCAAATTAATCTCCAATTCTTTAGAAACTGCTTTACTGCACCTTCAACTATGTTACTTGTGATCAAATCACAGGAAGGGCGCTACTTGTTCACTTTCTCAAAAACAAAAGCTTTTTTAAAAGATGGACCAATTTTAGAAAACGTTAATATTTTTATTTACATAGCAAAAACGACTGTAAACAAGTAAAGTAGATAAAGTCAAGTGTTGTCCCATACTGCATGTTCAAAGTAGTATTAAAAAGATGAGGAAAACTAAATATCACATTCTTATTTTTAACTTATGCTAATGTGAATGGCAATGAAACATCAGAATAGATACATTACATACTGAATATTCCACTTATCAATTCCCACTCAAAGTTCTTACATTCATAGGTACACTAGTAAAGAGCCATAAAAATGAAGAGGATATGTTGTCACTGCTCTTCTGTGATCCGTTGTGAATTTAATATCAGACCTCAATGCAATGATACAGGAAGGTTTACCCTTCTATATGAAGAGAGGTGATCTGCATCAGCATAAAACACACAGTTCATTTTCCTCAGAGCAAGACACCCTCTCTCCGGTTTCTACATTTTAAAAACACATTATTTTGCTATTGAAAGCCTTTCACAAGCGACTTTTCCTTAGCTCTAGCAAACACTGCTCTGCAAAAGAACGAAGCCAATTACAGCACCCTGTGAGGAAAGTTGTGATAATTTCCATACTCTCTCCTTAAGAAGTTGTTTTCTACTGTTTATAAACGCTCCTGCTAAGCAGGACGGACATTAACCGTTACGTAAAATGACAATTTACTGGAGTTAAAAACACACTTCCCATTAACACATGCATCCAATGAACGTACCTATACGTGGAAGGTGAGACTATTTAAGAGACTTGAGAATTACCATTTTATATTAAAAGTGGGTTCGAAGGACAGCACTTCCCTTTTCAAATACTCAAAATGTCCATCTGAATTTTGGCCTTTAAAACTGCTCATCAGTCCCCAGGCAGAACTACATTTAGCAACGGGTCTCCTGCAGACTTCCTGGTACTGCAAACCACAACCACGCGAGCTGTTTCGTCGGTTTTACAACAGCATATTCCACGCACCTCGCTGGGGAAAAAGGACTTCCCTACGAGTGAGCCCGGCCTCGGGGAGGGCGCCTCTCGGGCCCCTCCCCTGAAGGGCCGGGGCGCGCCCAGCTCGGGAAAGAAGGCCAAGGGTGAAGATCCCCGGAGCAGGGAGCCAGGTGCCGCGCGGGGAGGGGGCCGTACCTCCGAACATGTGAGGCGAGAGGTGCGCCGGGAGCGAGCCGATCACTAGGCGCGGCCCACCGGAGCCCCCGCCCGCCGGCCGGTCCCTGCCGCCGCCGGCGTCCTCTGGGCTGCTGTGCACGGAGTCCTGCGAGCCGTAGGGTCCGCTGCTGCTGTTGGGGATACTGACGCGGGTCCCCGACGCCACGCTGCCCACGGCCCCGCCAAGTGAGCGGCTGCGCGGGGCCGCCGGAGCCGCCGAGGGCGCTGCCGCGCCGCCCGAGGCGCCGGGCTGGGGCGCGCCGGGCACCTGAGGCGGAAGCCTGGCCGCGGCCCGCGCCCCGCCGCTGCCCACGTTCCCCTCGCGCGCTCCGCCGCTGCCGGAAGGCAGGTCCGAGCCCGAGTACGCGCGGGTGCGGCCGTTAGCGGCGGCCGGGCCGCTCTGCTTGGCGCCCATGTCCGCTCTGCCGCGGGCCGGCCCGCAGGGGCCCCCGCTCGTCCGGGCCGGCCCCGGCGCGCTGTCCTCGGGGCGAGGCGAGGCGGAGGAGGCCCGACCGCGGGCGTCGCGCGCTGCTCCGGCGGGCGCCGGCTCAGGTGGCGGTTTCGGTTCTGGTGCCGCTCTCTGCCGCCGCGCTCTGCGCCGCCAGCCTCGGCACCGCCTCCTCCCGGGCGGCTGCCGCTACCGCCGCCATCCTCCGGCTCCCACGGCGGCTCACGGGTGAGTGGGAGGTGGCCGCCCAGACTCCACCGGGGCCACCTTCCCTCCGCCCCCGGCCGCCCAGCTGTGATGAGCCGAGAAAGAGGAAAAACGGGCGGCGCGTGAGGGGACCAGGAGGGCGGGCAGGCGGGGTGCGCTGCCCAGCAACCGTCGCCTCACTCCACGCGCCCAGGAGGGGCCGCGGGAGTCGAGCCTAGAAGCTGGGGATGCCCGCGAGGTGAGGGTCCGAGCCCAAGCACCCGAAGGTCAAAAGGCTGCGCGGCCCCAAGCGGCGGCCAGGCCTGAGTGTTTGGGTGGCTCGCGGTGATCCCGCCCCCACCTCCTCGCGCCTCCCTACAGATTGGCTCCCGCCTGCGTTGCCCCGCCTTCCCGGGCCTAGGCCTACCCTCCCGACTCCGCCTTGCTAAGGTACGGCGGTGTGGTAGGTGCTGCCACCCTTGGACTCGGTGATGGACAGGTCGGTGCCTCCACCCTCCCGGCCATAGCGCGTCCCCTCCTCCACAGAGGGGCCCAAGCGGATTGGAGAGAAGGAGCCCCTGGGGGCGCCAATCAGAAGGCGACCCCTCCTCCCCCACGTGGCCTGCAGAAGCCGGGGAAGAGCGATCTCTTTCACCTTTTCCTGACTGGGCTTGTGAGTGGCTGTCCCCTGGGTCCGGAGCCTTTCGGTTTGGGTGGTGTTATTCTCCTCTTAGTGGTGTTGCACGCTCTGATTTTTACAAACAAATTCTGAAGCTCACCAATTCTGATGATAAAAAGAACAGTGAAGACAAAAGAGATAACCGAGGAGGCTGATAACCAACTTGGCTTGATTTAGGCTTACTCCCTTGAAACACTCCAACCCGAGGAAGTGCAAAACTGGAAGGACTAAGAATAAAACGGCCAGACCTTCAACAGTAGGGCAAAAACTAAGATGCAGAGCGCTGGGCGTGGTGGCGCAAGGCCTGTAATCCCACCACTCTGGGAGGCTGAGGCAGGAGGATTGCTGCAAGTTCGAGGCCAGCCTGGCCTGCATGAAGTTCAAGGAGACAGCTCAAAAAACAAAAGCAAACAAACAAACCCTGAAGTGTAGAGAACTGCCACAGATTTGACACCTGGCATCTAGGCATAACAATCAAATTAAATTATGTATAGAAAGTGAGCTTATTGGACTTTATAGGACTTTAGTTTTTTTGTTTTGGGGTTTTTTTTAAGCCTGGAATGCTTGCATTAAATTCCTATGACACCCGCACCTTTAAAATTCTGTGATTTTTCTAAAATGGAATTTAATAAAATCCTAAGCTCATTTGTAGCAGTGACACACAGCATAAGTCTAGATAGCGAAAGGACAGCCCACTTTGCCTGATGTGTCATCTACATGAAACAATAGTAAGGGGTTCTTCTATACAAACTATCGAAGTAAATGCTTTTTTTCACCATATTTGCAATGAGGCACATGTAGTGATTGTCACTCTTTGAAAGGGTATGGGAATAAGTTTTAAACAGAAATACACCCCAGTATGGTGACACAGGGCTGTAGTCCCAGCTCCTCAAGAGACTGAGGTAGAAATTGAAACCCAGCCTATGGAACAAGGCAAGACCTCATCTCAAAAAAATGGACATAATTTGGAAATAAAATGTCTATATATATATATATATATATATACACATACACACACACACACACACACACACACACACACACACACACAGTCAAAGCTTTTATATAGAGAAATGTTCGGATGTGTCCACCATTTGGCAAAGTGTCTTTGAGTTGGCACCCAATTCCCATCCCCATCATCACAGGCCTTCAGTGTTCCAGTTCAATGCTGTGTAACAACTCCTCCCTAGGCCTGATTATGTGGTTATTGTTAGACTTCAAGACTGCAAGCTTCTCGTTGATACCTCAGTGCCTCACATATTGCTGGGCACCCATGGCAGTATGATAAATGTTCAGTAAATGAATGATGCATACATCTTCACCAGTGCCACCAAAATGATTCTTTTGGAGTTCACTCAGGAATTTACCATGTTCTTATTGTCCTTACCATCTCCCACGTGTGGCTGCCCTTTCCATCTCCTCTCTGGGTGGACTATTTGTTTCTTTCCCTATAGGATTCTGGAAGTATAACATTTTGGTCGTCTCTGTTCTTTCCTTGGCCCAGTTCCCTCTCTCCTCAACCCTCTTATCTCTCTCCAAATTGTAATCCCTGTGAAGATGACAGTGTGTTTTATCATCAACCAAACTGTCTGACTACATTTAAAATTTGTAGCTTCTTTATTATTCCCTGTTTGCAAAAATTAAAAGTGTCATTTCATCCAAATCAGCACTCAAGTAAATACATCTATGTAGAAATTAAACAAATTTCCCATGGCATACATTCCCTTTTCTATTATACTCTGATTTGCTTTTATAAAATACTGGTCACTGCCCACTGAATTGATTGCACAACCCACTAAAGGATTGTAATCTGCAGTTTGACAAATGATGGTTTAAATCAGTGCTTTGAAAATTTCATTGGGCAAAGGCATCATCTGGATACTTTGCTAGAGCAGACTGCTGGACCCCACCCCTAGTGCTTCTCATTCTTAGCTCAGGATTGGGCCTCAAGAATTTGCATCCTAACAAGCTGACTGGTGATGTTGGTGCTTCCACCAAATCTCAGGCCACTTTCAGAGAAGCTCTGGTCTAATTGATTTCCTTCCTGTTCATGAGAACTGTTATTTTAATGTCTCAGTAACTCTTCAAGGACCAGACCCACAGCTCTTTAAAATTTCTAATAGTTAAAGGATTTTCTTCTTTTTGTTTTGTTTTTGCAATGCTGGGAGTCTAACCAGATCCTTGAACATGCCAGGCAAGCTCTACGACCACCCCTGAAACGTTTCGTATACTATACTTTTCTTCCTTGGTTAAATGATATTAAATGATATTTTGATCAGAGGATTTGGGAGTTTGAAATTAGTTTGAACATATTGTTAAGGCTAACAAAATTACTGACCAGAAACCCACCCTAATTGTGCGCTTAGCACAAAAAATTCTAGTTTTAATATCAGCTGGGGTGAATCTCTTCCCTTTGGCTTTTATTTTCTTTTGTGCTCCTCTTTGCTCTCTTGCTCCCATATCCTAAACCCGTGTTGGATCAGCCCTCTGAAGAGTTGCACAGAGCAAAAGCTTTGTGGCACCCATTAGGTGGGCCCCACCTCCCAAAGGGGGCTCTCTTACAGCCTGCATCATCCCTACATAGTAAATAGAGGGAGGTGTTTACTGGGAGTCAAACCCAGGGCCTCCCATGGGCCAAGCAAGCACTCTACCACTGAGCTACATTCCCAGCCCTTTTTGTTTTATTTTGAGACAGTCTCAGTAAATTGCCCAGGCTGGCCTTGAACTTGTGATCCTCCTGCCTCGACCTCCCAAAAAGCTGGGATTGCAAGCCTGCACTGTGGTGCTGGCTCAGCCCTATAACATTTTGCTAGTCTTCACCATCCTACTTTTTCACTCATTATAGTTTTCAAAAGCTGGCCATAGTTTTGCCCTTTAGGAAAAGCAAACCAGGAATGGTGGCACATAGCTGTCATCTCAGCACTCTGGGAGGCTGAGTCAGGTGGATCATAAATTCAAGCCCAACCTGAGCAACTCAATGATTTAGGAAGATCCTGTATCAGAATAAAAATAAAGGGGGCCAGGGATTTAGCTCAGTGGTTCTGCCACCTGCCTCACAAGCGCAAGGACCCAAGTTCAATCCCTGGTACCAAAAAAAGAAAAATAAAGGGATTGGAAATGTAGCTCAGTGTAAAGGCCCTGCAATCAAACCCCAGTACCACAAAATAAACAAACAGGTAATAAAATAAGTATTGATATATTACCTGGTCTCTAGCAAAATAGGACTATATTTACTTATCCTTTAAGTAAAGTCCTTTATAGGATTATAATTACTTATCCTTAAAAAGAGCTTTTTTTCTATTAATATATTTATAAAGAAATGTACCATCTAAACATTAAAATTTATCTTCATGCCAGGGGTGGTGGCATATGACTGTTAGGAGGCTAAGGCAGGAGGATTGCTGTGAGTTTGAGGCCAGCCTGGACTGTATAGTAAGTTCAAGTCCAGCCTTAACTAAATAGTGAGACTCCCCCAAAATATTTATTTTCATATATCCTACAAAAACACTGCTTAAGATTTTAATAATTAGAAACATATCTTAAATTCTGAAACTAAAAGTAGGGTATTTAGCAATCACATTGTTGGATAATTTTTCAGATAACATCAGTAGCTTATATAATGCCTTTAACAAATGTTTGTTCTCCCCTCCCTGTATTTTCATTGGTTCTCTAGTGACCATCAAGGGACAGGAGCCAATCATGCAGGATTAGAAGCATACACTATGAAGTAGGTGAGTTCAAGCTGGCTTTAGGCCCTGGCTCTGTCTGATACTGGCTGTAGGATTTGGGGCAAGTCACTTAACCTGGCTCAACCTGTTTCCTGCAGAAAATGCACATGACCATAATGCCAGTCTCACAGAGTGGCTGAGAGTTTCAAAAGTTCAGTCTTTAGTGGAGCGTATTTTGAAATTTGTTGGTATATAAATAAATTTTAATCTCAATCTTATTATCCTAGCAGGGCATAATGATTTGCATGTTGCCTGTAGCAATTTGTGAGAATGTACAGTTTAATATATGCTAATACTCTCTAGAATTGATTTTACTATTTTTGTGTAATTTTGGTGCATTATTGACACTTAAAGATTTATTTGTAATAATTACAGTCATTTACTAATAAGTATGTTCATCATTACTATAATAATGACAATGGCATGACAAGCTATGATGACAAATCTATGTCTAGTCTCTACTATAAAATAGATGAATGTATATACAGATAAAATTTGGAAAGAAAATGTCATTAGCTGTTTGAAATCTCTAATATTAAAAGCTTTTAATTTAAATTTCCCTCAACTTCACAGGGTAACATTTTAACTAAGTACTCTTTGTTGTCCTAAATAGGCTTAAATGTGTCACAAAAATATATCTTGTTAATCAGCTGATGATCAGAGCCCTGTGTTATGTTTAACACCCATTCTAGAATTATTTTCATTTCTAGAAACAGTTGAGATCCAATGTCAGCACTTGCTAATAAAAATAACTTAATTCTTGCCTGTCAACATAGTATAGGGTATTAATGAGGATTAAATACTTATGTTCCATTCTCAATTCACGTTGGCTTGCAAATAACATTTTTTAAAAAATATTTTAGGGCCTTTATTTAAAAACCTTTAATATAAAACAGCTACAATCCATGATGTTTTTCCTGAATTATAAAGAAAACTGAGTCCATACATAGTACTTTAAAAGGAATCCCAGATCTTTGTTGCTGTTGAAAAGACATAAAATTTTGTGGAAAGATGTGTAATGGGGCCAATACTAAAGAGATTTTTCCCAGCCTACATAAGTGAAAAGTGGCTTGGAGAAAAAATAGTTCTCTGCTACATAATGTATGTGGTCCCTCCTCCAAAGAATATGCACCCTCCTCCAGCCTCTTGTCACTTGCTTAAATCACTATGAATGATTAAAAAGTATAAGATGTTTTCCCTTATCACTGTCTCCCTTAAGAGTACCCAAAAGGCCCAGTAAAGGCAAGCCTTGTATTTTAGGCCTGAATTGCGTAAGCCTCCCAAGTACAGGAACTCTATTTCTGCTTTATTTTTAACTCACCACAGTGCCTGCTTCTTGGGAATTCCAAGACAATCTGCTTGCAGGAGACTTTCAGTTAACTGCTATGGATCACGAGGAGCAGGAAGCAGTGATTAACGCATACCCTGAATTACTACTGACTTAGACTTTCATTACCACCTTAAGTTTGTATGTCAAATTTGTTACCTTTCACATTTTTCAGCCAAGGCAGTCAATACCTTAGGTAGCCAATTCCTTTTAAGTGGCTACTAAATGGTCTCTGCCCCCAAGTTAGGCCAGGTGGGAAAGGGTAAATTCATAACTCCCCCAGGAATAAGCAAGAAAACAGTGCAGTAAGAAGTACTGGTCAGACGAAAGACACCGAATCACCCCGGTGCAGACAGGCAGCCACCTGGTTCCACACTACAAAGACGCAGAGGACACCAGACCACCAGACCAAGGTACTGAGTCCCGCTGTTCCCAGCCCAGAGGT